TAGAATATATCTACGTTTCGTAGAAACTCGGTAAATATCTAATCAATTCTGTTATATTCCGCACGAAAAGCAACACAAGAATCGAAGGTCTTGGAAAGTTTACAATTATACAGAAAATATAATTCGAATTGTATCACTTGCGCAATTTTCTGCATTATAATGGAAAGCGTATTCTATAATAATAATGAAAATGGATTGGGAAGATGTATACCAACTTATAGAAAACACCGATATATCTTTAGATGATAATGAAAAAATACACCAATACATCTCATAACTTATGAAAATAATTAGTATAACAATGTTTTTGTATTAAATTTATGGTAAGCATTGTTGTTTGACACAATACAGTAATTATTAAACCACTCTTGCCTCAATATATATATATATAAATTATAATAAATACAGTCTATGTAAGCCCGTAAGTTTAAACACAATATTACAATACAGTAAGTTATATGCTTCCAAGTTTCAGTATTTTACGCAAGATGTTTCTATGCCATATTATCATAGTACGTTTTCATTTAGTAGGCTAATACCTCTTGTTATATGTAAGCAACCATAATACTGGTTCTATGTTTCCGCAGCACATTCGGTTTTGTCAAAGTAGGTCTATGATTCTACTTAATTAATCACTTCTGTTAGAACATATTAATAGTATGTTGCTAGTCTATATAACCGAAGATAGTACTAGAAATGTGCGCTGTGACAGAAGTATATAAAGTAGTCAAGTTTCTACGTTTCTATAGCATAATACTGTAATAAATGTTATACAGCATAGTCAACTTATTGTCATACTGTAATGTTGTGACATATTACAGTATACTCATAGTATGTTGCTGTATCATATTAGTGTTACTAGCGTATCGGTATGCCTTATTTCATTGCTTTTCATATAAATGTCGGGTATATATTACAGTAGAATGTCTTAATTACATACACAGGTTATGATTATTAGCAAATTTTGACTCCAAAGAAAATATTTCCATAATGCTTTGAATAATTCTCTTTCATATTTCTTAAATTTCATTTTTAAGCATTATCCAAGAAAAACAATTGATTATCGAAGATAAAAATCTCTGAAAGATAAACAATTGAAACTTGTTTCGTGATTACTTCCTCAGTTATCTTGATTAACATATGTAAATCAATATAAATTACATCAGAGTCAAAGTTAAGTCAAGCTGAATTAAGTTCAAAGAAAGGTGTTGAAGTTATCTTCAAAAATATACACGGGGGATCCAAAAGTCACCATTTAAAAACTAAATTGATATAGATAATCAAATATTTAAATAGGAAAGATTATAGGATTGTCTCTCGGATAAATCGCTATTAGTTTGCGAATTTTGCAGCGCATTTATAGTGGGCTCGGCCCACTATAGAACGGTAAAATCGAGACTACGCTTAATGGATCATGCTCGAGTCATATTAAAAATAAAATCGCAACGTATAAGATAATTTGTTCAAAAATGTCAAGCAATTTAAAATGTGATAAAAGGAACTATTTCCAAAATTTTCGGTTTCCCCCTAGTGTCGGTTAGACATCACGTAAGACATTTTTAAAATCTAAGTTGAAGCACGATGTGATATGGGCTTTACACTATACAGTAAAACCTAGAACATCTTTCCGTTTTGAATAGGATCCTATAAGTAAAATACTAGTCAGTAGAGTCCCGTAAAGATGAAATGGAACAATGGACACCGATGGTATAACACAAATCAAAGAAATTTTTCAGCGTTACATCAGCTAAATTGTAAATTCACAAACACTTCCAACGGTATTGGGTTTTAACGACGGTTTTATTCTTCCGCCTATCACACACGTTTCAGTGTTTTCAGCGTCTTTGAAGCATAAAACACAACTCATTCAGAACTGCTTCCTTCCCTCGCTGCCAATTCTTTTAAATTTCCTTTTCTGAATTAATAAAAATTCAACCCTCCATAAACCGCATTCAAATTTAAGAGCGATTGTACCGTATTGTGTCGTATAAGATTTAGAATCGTAGCTGGTACCGAATTCCGAATACGAGAACACGAGCGTCCGTAGACAGTAAAAGCCTAGACTAGTCAAAAGCCGAGATTGAATTTCTGAGATCCCCCCTCGTGATGAGATACGACTTGAGCCATTTCTACAAATTTTCGGGTTTTCGAATTCATAATTGCAGCAGTTGCCGAGCAAGATACTTGGCAAGAGCCGGCCAGATTACACACACTTTAACACACATGGGAGTGGAGTGTGTGTGTAAGTCCACGGCTCGATTAACGATAGTAGTATTTGTTTCGGATTTAGAACAAATCGGTTTTCGAACAACTTTTAGGAACGAATTAAGTTCGAAAACACAGATTTCACTTGTGTAATCTTTTTACGCAATGATTTATAAGAATATAAATTCTGTTTTTCTAACAAAATATGCACGATTACGTAAGTCTTTTAGTATATCGTATGTAATTATATCACTTAAGCATAATCTACGGCATTCTATGAATATGGTTTAATGGCGGAAAGATAAATCATCCGAATTTAAACACGCGATATATGTTAATATTGCCTAGACAATCAAACTGCGAACACACTGGTATAATGTTACAGTAAGACCTCGTTTAGCGCTTCCTCGATTAACGTGCGCGCATACGTTTGTATGTTATGTAGCATATATTATGCAAAATTAATATAAAAATAACTCTAAAGTAAAGTTTGTTTATTTTTGGTCGCGTGTTCCACTTTCCCATTTACTATGGGCTAAAATGGTCTCGTTTAACGCTGTTTCATTTAGCGCTTTGTCGTCTAGGAATGCATCCGAAGCGCTAAACGAGATCTTACTGTATTTATGCTCGAGAATTTCAGCACACTACGAATGTAATATCTGGACTGATTAAAAAGTATCTTTATTTCATTGGAACTATGAAAACAGGCGCTACGTTTTTCAAAATCATTTAACACGACTATTAAATAAAAGATCTATATGAAAGAATAAAACTGATTCGTCAAGAAGTGAAACATGAAAATATTTGAGATAATCGGCGTGTCGAATAGATATTTAAGTATTTATAAATTTACACGCTATCACATTACCTTCTAAGATTAATCCATCTACAGCTATCTCCGTCCCCAGTAGAACCATTTCATAGTACAGTAAATCATAACGATAATTCTGAAGTCAAATATGTAGGATGATTCCAGTTCTCTCAAATATCATACGAAAGCTCATTTCTCATTATTATTAGAATTTAGACCGTACACCAGCATTCATTTAACAGATTAAACTACGTAATTAATACGTTCATACCATAAAAAATCACTCCGAAAATAAAATTTACCTAATGGAATGAACTATTAATAATTTCATAATTGACTTTTCCAGGCCCTGGCTCCAGCCAAATAAGTTTTAAGCGCTTTTGTTCGAGATACGACTACACTACTCGAGCCACTTATAACCCGTTTCAGAACTTTTATATACTGTAAACAATAAAAATAGATTTTTCCCATCACATACAATATTAAAAATATTAAATTTTAGTATTATTCATAGCTATATCAAATTATAACGGACAGAAAATCAGAGTAAAGAGTGAGATACCAAGAAACAATTAACTAATGACTACTATTTACCATTTATTTACGATCGGCATCGGACTGAAGTGTTTCGATCTGTTAGAAAAGTAACAGTAAATAGGTTATAAAATGTAAATAAAATTAACGTAATATTATTAAAAGATACCAAAAACAATCAATAAGGCCATAAAAATGAACATAATTTATGTAAATTGTTTTGCTCAACTATGAAGAAACAAACAGGTTAATCACAAAAAAGAAAAATACTGCTTATAACTTTTAAAAATAATTTTTTCTGTTAAAAATAATATTTTTTTTAACAGAAAAAATATTTCGGGAAATTAATGTATTTTAACTGATGTAACCGATAAAATATCTAAATTTAAAAAGTGTCCTTGCAATTATTCCGTGTCGTCATACCGCTATTACGTTATATTTGTTTGGTGTTTTTTGGTCATTAGAGGTGTTATCGGGTTTATCAAGGTCGAGATGAAAGCGTATTATTTAAGATAAATATGTTCCAACATTTTCTACGTTGAAACGTTTACATCTATTAGAGAAGTCTGAATTTTAAAACTGACAAACGAATTGAGTTGCCAATAAAAACAGATGTAACAATCTTCTAGTTACGAAGAGAGAAAACAAATTTCACAATCTTACTTCCGGAATATCAAAGCTTCTAAATAAATAAAAATTAATATAGGAATTGTGCTATAATTTTACGACTTTAAAACTGAATTTTCTACTTTACATCAATAAATTCGCGATTTTCATTCTGAACGAGGATCAGAGTAAAATATACCTTTATCGTTTAAGTGTTTACAGGCCTGTAGAACGTCTTTATATTTCTATTATTATTATATATGCTACAATTACTTACATTAATTCGTACAGAAGTTACAAATCTCGATAAATAGACCGAATAATTGAAATTAATCAGACAACGAACTGATGTAAATATCGATTATTTAACACTCGAAATAGGTTATTTTTAAAGTACAGTAATATTCTTTTGCACTTGAATCCGAATTTATATTTCTAGAACAACTTCCGACTTACACAGGATGGCATTTGGATTTAATACTTGAGAGAACACGACCAATAATTCAAAAATCAATTATTTTTCCTGTTGAATTACGGCATCGTTCCGAGCGTAAGCTCGTACTACATACCTCACCACTTTCAACAAATTAACGACGAGATCATTTCAGAATTTGCCTACAGACTACGATTCAAACACTATTGAGTTTCCTGTCTATATAAATAATCCATTGCTTCCTGTTATGCCCCTCGGAAAGATAATTTTAACGATATCGACGTATATAATTAGTATAGGAGAGAGAGGTAACTTCCTACGAATGTTACTATATAAAAATTAAATTAACAAGTCGAACAGATAAACAATTCTCGGAAGGGTTGCCGTTAGCTTATATAAAGACCCTACGAAAGGGCGGGCCGAGGTCCGGTAAGATCCCTGGAGTGTAGTCTGCACGGTGTCCCTCTCTCCGCCATGGCTCCTACAAACGTACAAAAGAGAATATTGTCCCTGTTCGAATTTGTTAACTTGAACACCAAGGATAAATTCAGCAGGATCGTCGAAAGGGGAGAAAAAAATCTCGGAATACTCGGACGAGGACAGCTATTTTCGTGTTTCCACAAGGAACACTTAGAAGAAGCCAGAGTGTTCTACGAGATGCTGCTCGGTAAATTTAGGTGTTATACGTATTTTATATTCAATTTGACAATGTTCTAACGTTTAAAACTTTACAGCCGCTCCGACTTTCGACGACTTTCTGGACCTGTGCCATCAAGCCCGTGATTATCTCAACGAAGGATTGTTCATATATGGTCTTTCCGTCGCCATACTTCACCGTGAAGATTGCAGGGGTATAACTTTACCCCCAATCCAGGAGATCTTCCCCGACAAATTCATTAACGTCGAAACTCTGCACGCGGCCTTCAACCAGATTCAGGAAGCTGGAAAAGTCGAAGTTGGAGTAAGTTTTGAATTGCTTTGTTAGAGAAAAAATAGAAATGAAGCCAACACCGTCAGAATATTTACTTTCAATTTATAGACAGAGATCATTGTCGATTGGAGGACATCCGTTAGACACGATCAACGAGTACAAGATCCCGAATTTCGCCTGTTCTACTACAGAGAAGACATTGGTCTGAATGCTCATCATTGGCATTGGCACTTGGTGTACCCAGCAACGTGGGATGCTAAAGTAACTCATAAAATAAAGAACAGAAAGGGAGAGCTTTTCTACTACATGCATCAACAGATGTGTGCACGGTAAGATATCTTTTCTTAAATTAATGATTGCGACAAAATACTTCCGCTACAGCTAACGTCAAATCTTCCAGTTACGATTGCGAGAGATTGTCCAACGACTTGCCTAAAATGATACCTTTCCACAACTTTCACGAAGCTCTGGATGGATATTCTCCACGTTTGACATCCATCATCAACGGTCTTCCCTATGCCAGTCGTCCGGCTGGTCTCAAATTGCAAGACATGAAAGAAGTATCAGTCCAAGATTTGGAAAGATGGAGAGATCGTATATTAGCGGGAATCCATCGAGGATATGTTACAGCCGACGAAGGCAGAGAAATTGCACTAACGGAAACCTTTGGCATCGACATACTCGGATCGTTAATAGAAGCTAGTGTGGATTCTGTCAACAAAGAATTCTATGGCAGTTTGCACAACTGGGGCCACGTTATGATGGCTGCCATTCAAGATCCTACGGGAAAATACATCGTAAGTTTAGATAAAAACGAAAATATAAAATCGAATTTCAAATATTCAATGCTAATTTTCCAATTATAGACCAATCCAGGTGTTATGAGCGATACCGCCACTTCACTTCGAGATCCAATCTTCTATCGCTGGCACAGATTCATCGATAATATTTTCCAAGAATACAAAAACAAATTACCTCCCTACAACAAGTATCAGGTAAAAATATTGAATTTAAAATCTCGTTAAAACGTGGATAAATTTAACTAATTTTAAATTTCTTAAGCTCGGATTTACCGGTATGGAAGTCAGAAACGTCACACTGGCAACCAAACACACCGACCCTCACAAAGTGCACACCACCTTCGTCTCTGGTCTCTTGGATATAACAAACTCTCTACCTTTAGGAACTAACGCTGTGGTTAAGGTATTGATCGATAATATAAAACGATTATCATCATAAATTTTTTTATAGTAAAAGTATATTTTATTTCTAGATCAGGTGGCCACATCTGACTCACGAGGAATTCTCTTACAAAATCCACGTGGTGAATCAATCAGCAAGAGTGAGACCATCGACCGTGCGTATCTTTTTAGCACCCGTGTACGATGAACTCGGAAACGAGATAACTATTAACAATCTGCGATCCCTGATGATCGAGCTGGATAAATTCAATTACGATGGCACGTAAAATTACCATAAAAATTGCTTAAATTACGAAATTCGTTAACTAACATATACCATTCTCTATATAGTTCAACCGGGATCTAACTTAATTGTACGCAAAGCTGAAGATTCGAGTGTAACATTGTCTAACGAGTCAACCTTCAGCGAACTTCTGAAAGGAAAAGGACATTCAAGTGCTAGTGAATACTGCAGTTGCGGATGGCCTCAACACTTACTACTTCCTAAGGGCAACTCTAGAGGAATGGATTTCCATCTCTTCGTTATGCTAACAGACTGGCTGGACGATGCGGTAAGTTAATCATCCATACACGAACAAAACGTTGAGTGCCACGTGGTACGAACTCTACGAATGTCTTGTCGCCACGTGGGACTTTCAATACGTTCGTTATACACAAAAACAATGAATATAAATTTTAAGACGAGCTTATACATTTGCAGATCGGAGAAACAGGCCAAACTGGATTATGCGTGGATGCAGTGAGCTACTGTGGTGCTAAAGATCAATTATATCCTGACAGACGAGCTATGGGTTTCCCATTCGATCGTCGCATCGAAGCCAATTCTTTCTCAGAATGGCTCCTACCCAACATGTCCGACACTATTGTTACCATTGTGCACGACGACAATTAAAAAAATAAAAACAATTATTTGAGAACCTTAAAAATCACCGGAGAATAGCACTCGATAAAAACTACATTATATAAAATGAAAACACTAAATTGTAACTTTTCGAAATAATAAAAATAAATTTGAAAATTTACCTAGTATTTATTAAAATTACTATAACAAAGAATGTTAAAGTATTTCTTTAACTGGTGAATATTAAGATTAAAATGCATTATTACGCAGACCACATTTAAAAGTTTAAACTTCAGCATTTATTCTTAGACATGCTATTTACAATTATTATTTTACACCCTTTCAAGAGCATTAACTTTGTATTAACAACCCGAGTAGTATAGATATCGATAAGGAATTCCCTGAAGATTAATCTGAAAAAAATATGTGATAATTCTCTCCCAGATAAGGGTACTAATTTAAAATTTGTCTAATCCGAAGTGACAGGATATGCTGGAGATTGAGACAAGTGTTCAAGTGCATTGGATATGTTGAGATATCTAAAAAACATTCCAAAAAGATTCAAAGTTCACAATAACTCCAAAAATTTCGATGTGTTTTTTTTATGTTGTCTAAGTACTGATAAAAGTTCAGAATTCATTCTCAAATTATAAAGTTGAACGTTCATTTTTCTTAAAAAAAATTGCTACCCACTAAAGACAATTCTTATTTTCCCTCCTATCTCTCAATTAACTTCGGAATCATATTTTAAAATAAATTAAACTTATATAATGCATTTTTCAGAATAAAATCTTCAGAATTCTTCAATTTATCCAAAAAATGTAATCATTTATTCAGAATTTGTATATAAAAATTCTTTTTTAATATATTACAAAGGAGTTATTTTAATGGATTTTACCATTATTTCTAGTTGTCAATATATTTAGTTTTTTTCTTCTTCCAATAATTTATTTGGACAATTTTTTTTTTGCTATTCTTANGATTGGATGTTCGTCTCACTCCAGACAGTTGAGAAAGCAATTCTGTAAAAATCAGAGAAATTCGTTTTACTGTTAAACAACTATTTTATTAAATATATCAAGAAAAAAAATTCATTTAATAGATCATTTAAAAATTTAATAGCTTTTTAGGTTTTTATTTCAAAATTAAATAAAATAAAAGCTTTCTTTTATAACTTAAAAATGTTTAGTTCTAACAATGAACTGGAGGCCATGAGGGAAACCAATGGATGAAACAAATGAAAAGGGAAGCTGTGGACAATTGAAAGAAGGGTGGAGTATATGCATAATTCAAATTTTTTCTCATAGGGGATACTTTCAAAATCTAGTGATGGTCATAATATATATTTAATATTAATAACAGCTAAGTAGTTACATTACATAAAAATTAGAAATTTTTTTAATATTTTTTATGCTAAGTCTTTTGTGACAACTGATGTGTGGATATGCACACACACACACACACACACAACACACACAGGTATTCCTTGTATAACTTGGTAGATATGTTCCAAAAGTACCATGTTATGTGAATTTGTGCTATACAAAACAAAGCGAGTCCTGGGTCATGCAAGGTTCTCGGCAACAAGACTGCTGACCGTCTTGCCAAACAAGCTGCAAAGTCTTCAGTCACTAGTACTTTCAGTTACATTCCTACCTTGTACATCAACAATCATGTCAGGAAGCAAATCTTCATTCTCTGGCAAGACAGCTGCCAGAGAATGAAGATTTCATCCCCAAGGTTGACACTACTGCTGTGATTCTTTGCCACTTTTACCCTAGTTACACCCTCACTCAGCTACTTACAGGACAAGTCAACTTTAAGCAATACTTGCATAGATTTAACCTTGGGGACAATCCACAATGCGATTGTGGTATTCAGGAGGACCAAACACCACCTCACTTAGTTTTTCGCTGCAACAGGTACAATCACGTTAGGGATACTTTAATGAGAGCTGCTATTCTTGAAGGATACAACTGGCCTTGCAACCCACGTCAACTCATTCACACATGTATAATAGAGATGTTGCGGCCGTGTATTCAGCCCAAAACATGAATGGCGCTGCCATCTGGCAATTCTAGACTGTCGATAATGGTGTTTGCCATGTCTAGCATGGCGAGTAGAAGATTGCTTTAAACTTCTTTTTTTTTTTTGCGTTTGTTTGGGGTTAAAATTATGACCTATTTTATTAAAATAATGATTATTTAAGCATTTACGAATAATATTATAAAGAAACAGACGATTTTAATCCAGAAATTATTTAATTATTCAATTTTGTAGCAAGTGATGTGAAGTGCCTATAGAATTTACATATATTTGCCTTCATAATAGATTATCTTAAGATAGGTTTGCTCTTCCACGGCATCTTCTACCATCAACAGTGCAATACATTTGTAAATTTTCTAAAAATTAATTTTCCAAATTTATATAAGCCACTACTTCCCTCGACAGAATTATGAGATAGTCCTATTGTACGGTAGGAGACATCACGCTAATTAAAAATAATTATTTAGCCCCTTTCTTCCAGCTAAACACTTCATGTATGGCCAATGTCTTTCTTGTATGTATGCATTCATGTATGCAAAACAAAGGACTAATGCAAAACATAGGGTTACATTCCAGAAGTTAGCAGAAGTGTACTATTCTTTATCATAATTAAGAAAAATATGTTTATTAAAGCAATAAATAATTTATTTCCAATCAACAATTAATTAACATCACAATTAAAAGTACCATATTGTGTGTTAATATTAATTTTAGTTAAACAAGAGTGTTTTCTTTTACAAAGTATCATTGTCATCTCAGTATTTTTATTGTTCTTGATCAGAAGTATCAGCAACATTTTCACATTTTTTTATTTTTATCATAAAGATATGTTGTTAATTGAAAATTTGTTCTTGTGAGTGACATTTGTTCAGTAGAGTACCAAGCAGCTTTTTTCCAGTATTTGTATTCAAATACCGAATTGTTTGAGTACTGAGATTGTATTTCGTTCGTTATTTTTACGAATGACATAATAATTCATAGTTGATACGTGCTTCTTGTTCTTAATTACTTATATTATTACTTTTGTCCACTTACAAGTTCTTATGAACTAGGATCTGTTATACTGAGAAAAAAGAAAAACACAATTTCCAATTAAAATATATTTATTGTAAACAATAAATGGACAAAATAACTTCCCAAGTGGACAAAAGAAGAAAAAAAAATCATTTATAGGTAAATAATATCTACAATTAAAATAGTTTAACAACACATACAAACTTTACTAAATATGAAGATTAACCTATAAAAAAATTCACAGTGATAGTCTTAAGGCCTAAAGTCTGAAAGCAATGATGATACCTGGTTGATAAGTAAGTTAGGACAAGGAAGAAAAAAACTGAACTAACAGTTTTCATTAAAGTAAATCTGACAAAAAGCACAAAATTTGAAAATTTCGATATTGTAACATAGGCAAATTTCAGACAACACACATGCTTACTTTAATAATAAAATATAATAATAATTATTGAATAATGAAGTTTATACTTAAAAATTATGAAATTCTGTACAGAGGATTTCCAAAACCATGCTAGAGTGAAATCGGAAGTTGCATTGTATGGGGGATATCCCCAATTTTCAAACAGTGTTAGAAAAAAAACATTGTTGTAGAAGTACTGTCTTAGATTGTAAATTAGAGTAAACATGATTATGCTTTTAAAAAGTTAGTCTTGCATAAAAATTAAGAAGTTATAGTGGCACAAACATCTTATGTTAGTATTATGAATTCTCTTCTGAAACAATGCCATACTGCATGTAGCATGGCAGCTGAAATCTTGCTAAGAAATAACAGGTCATTCTCTATACAGTCCATCTATTTCTTGCATGAAGGAGCAATTGTCAGGAAAATATTTTATCTGTAATAAACAGTTATATATCCTTGTTGCTGCATTCAAGCTAAATAAATTTACTCCCCCACACAATGCCTCAGCAATTAATTACAAGATCAACACTGAAAAAATGGTGTATCAGTGAAAACCTCATTGGATACAGGAAGTTTACTTTATTGTAACATTGAGCATGCAAACTTATTTTCTGACCATGCTTTTATGTATAACAAAATAAGCAAATAAAAATGTAAAAATTACCTGCTATAGGATCCATTGATTCCCGACTGCTTGGAGAGAGAGAAGATAAGCCACTTGAAGTAAACTGCATTTGCGACCTACGTGGTCGAGCACTACTCATGCCCCTACCAGGATGAGGTATTCGACGAACTTGACGAGAACTAGAGGAATCATCGTAATAATGTTAAAGAAAACTAGTTTTTATCCTTTATACAAAAATAAAAATCATCATCATTATTGAAAAATTTTAACAATTCCACAGAAAACTAATGTACAGTTTGTTGAAGTAGTCCATTCAATAACTGCTTTATTTATTAGAGTAAATTTTAAATATTGGTTGAGAATTTAAGTAAAACTTTTATTCACCATTAAAAGACTGATTGAAAATTAAGCACACAAACATACTGTTATAGAATACAGTGGAACCCCGGTTAACAAACTTAATCCGTTCCGCGATTCTGTTCGTTAACCGAAGCAATTTTTCACATAGAAATTAATGCAAATGCAATTAATCCGTTCTAGTCTTCGAAATTTTTGTCATTTTATTAGTAATATAGAATAATTTTCTTTGATGAAAATGTAGGAAAACGTAGTATCTATAATTACAGCAACAAACATATAAACTGTGTTTAATAAAATAGCACTGTACATACCTTCGTTTGTTGTAGTTGCTGGCAGAAAAGTGGTGATATACGAACCTTAATGCTTAGAAAGGGAATCCTCTCCAAAAAAAAAAATAATGGTTAGCACTTCATCGGAAGATTCTTCGAGTCGAAGTCTCTTTCGGTAAAAAACCCACCAGTGGCTAAGCGGTCTTTGTACCTTGAACACGGGGAGTTTGTGGGTTCACACCTCGCTCAGACGGGCTGGCCACGTGGAGTTTTCTGGGATTTCTCCAAGTCTGTAACCCCTAAATAGGGGCCAGTTTTCCTTAAAAACACCGCCCAGAAGGCATTCCCCCTAGTCAGATCGCCCAAGTGTTGCATTGTCATAATTTAACAAAGAAACAAACTCTTTGTGTAAGGANTATGTCTCTTTTCATCACCACTAATGCCTTGGTTTTATCTGCTTTAGTGAATGTTATGCGATTATCGCGTCCCCATCTAACCGCGTTCGTTAATTCTTTATCTGCTTTAGTGAATGTTATGCGATTATCGCGTCCCCATCTAACCGCGTTCGTTAATTAAGATACTGAGATTGGGCCCGGCCTATGCCCCTACTCCGAACAAAAGGGAGATGCTAAATAAGTGCATCCCGGACGTAGAAAGAGTGATACAAGGTATGCCGAAGATACAAAAAGAATATTACAGATGGAGGGCCACCTTCAAAGTTAAAAACTTCAAGGAGTCGACGCAGACTTGCCATTTCAAAAAAGAATTAACGAACGCGGTTAGATGGGGACGCGATAATCGCATAACATTCACTAAAGCAGATAAAACCAAGGCATTAGTGGTGATGAAAAGAGACACATACGAAAGAGGGTTACGCGAATATATAGAAGATACCAGATGCGTTGAACAAGAAAGCAAAACAATTGAAAAACTCCACACAAGAGTTAAACGTTTTTCAAAATCTGCGTTGGCGAAGAGTCTTGGAATGCAAGATATAGTCATGGACGCTCCGGACACACCCAAACTGTTTGCGTTTGCAAAAACACACAAACAAGGGCAGAAGCTAAGACCGGTGGTGGATAAAGCTAAATCTCCCACTCGCAAATTGGAGGCAGCTCTGCATCGCATCATAGCTCCACAATTACAAGGATACCGATATACTATTTCCGATTCTAGTGAGTTAATAGAGATTCTCAAGCACACAGAACAACCGGCGTGCATCTCAATCATGGATTTCCGTTCATTATACCCTTCTATTGAATTGCCGCCGTGTTTTTGTGCAGTCAGAGACTTTCTATTGCAATATGTGAACGATGAAGGGTTACGCCCGCAAATTCTAGAGTTGGCACACCTAATATGCTACAACTCCGTATTTCAGTTTAATGGCATCACATATAACCAAGGCAGAGGTGTACCCATGGGTAGTGCAACCTCAGGAGATCTATGCGAGCTGGTTATCAGAAAATTAGAGGAAAGGGTAATTACGTGTTTCTACGACAACATCATTTTGTACAAACGTTACGTCGATGACGTCATTATACTGTGGAGAAACAACCCTGACATCAACCTGTTTATAGATCAGGTAAACAACAACAATTACAGTCTTACTGTAGAGGTGGAGCAGCATAGTGACTCCACGGTCCATTTTCTGGATGTGAACATTAGAATAGAGGAGTCTCACCTAAGCACTTCGGTGTATCGGAAGCAACATGACTTCCCGACGTATATTCCAGCGGACTCATGCGACCCGTTCGGGTACAAAGTGGCAGCGTTTAGGGCGCTTGTCAAAAGGGCCTACACGCACTGCTCTACTCAGAGGGCATTAAATAAAGAGATGGAATATCTCAGAAAAGTAGCCGACATACACGGCTTCCATAACATAATACAGAGGTTGGCGACGCAATACAACAACGTAGGACCACCTTGTACTACCAATAGAGAGGATGGCATACAACAAGAACAACGCATCGTAACGGTTACTTACAACCCGATCTTGACTACTGTTTATCATAAAATCGCGAAACTGCAAGGGATACGCATAGCATATAGAAGATGTCCATCTATTTTTCCTCTTATACGTAATGAGAAGGACAAGCCTAGTCGGGATAGGCTGCCAGGGGTGTATTCGGTGCCACTCACCGACCATAGATGTGACAAGGAGCTGGTATACATTGGGGCCACAAAAAGAGCAGTCGGAGTAAGGTGGAAGGAGCACCAAAAGGACATCGAGCACAATAGATGTAGCACGGCTTTATCGGTGTATGCATCGGACCCGGAGATATCGGCGGACTTCACGAGGGCCAAACTTCTCATCACGACGTC